CTGATTCGTATCGCATTTCACACTTCGTATCATATAGCTCAAAGCGTTTATCTCTGTGTGGTGGGCCTTTTCAGCGCCGATAAGTCGCCTCTTTCACTAAATTGCACAATTCTTCTCTAATTGAAAAAAGAAACAGAAATATATGTATGTGTATAAATATACATTCGAGTGCTTACCGCCTGGCTGAGTCTCGTCGGGGCCCGTCTGGTCCGGTCGGGGACTTGCATTTCTCTGGGGTGTCTGGCGCTGTCTCTGTAAATCGCCTTAGCCTCTAAAAATTATGTCACATGCGGCTTTGTCGCACTGTCGCACAGTAATTGTTGCAACAATTGCAAAGTACATTATTATTTTATTTCGATTTTCTTTATTTTTATTTTTATTATTTTATTTTATTTTATTTATTTTTTCTGCTGTTGTCTTGCGGCTGTCGCTCGAGTAACTTGACACTCGAAGTAAAATTGGTGCGACAATGTCTGTCTGTGGGCCTGCCCCACTGTACCCACTGTCTGGCCCGCCGCGAGTGGGTCGCGCTGTGGCTCTGAACCGCAGTTAGTTTAAGTGGTATCATATTTGGTCTCAACTCTTGATTGTTGTCATATGCTTAGGTTGCTTTTGTTGTCTTTTTTTTTTTGGCATTTTTATTTACACTTTGCATTTGTGTTTCAATTGAAATTTTATTTTTTGTCTGCTTGGCTGTCGCTCTGCTTCATTATCTCATTGTTGTGGCACATTGTGTAAAGTGTTTGTGCAGTTTAATTTGTTAATTAAGATTTATGATAATTTTTTATTTCTATATATGTAGTTATGCTTTTGCCTCTCTCTCTCTCGCTCGTTGTCATCAATACAAAATTAGTATGCCTCAATTTATTTTCCCACGCTGATTTTGTATATATAAACATTTTTTTTTTTTTTTTTTGCAATTTTTGAATAGTAATTGTAAACTTGACCCATTCTCTCGAAAAACCACAAGAGTTGGCTGCATTTTTCTCAAAAACCTCTCACATATTTTACCAGAGACGCTCCGTTCCACTCATTGTGTCTGGGAAAGGCGTTCTGCTAGCTCTTAGCTATCGCTGCTGTGCGTCTCCCGTTACAAGCACGGCTCTCATTTACAGCATCATAAAAGTGTTTATACATATATACATATATACAACTTCATATATATGTGTATATATATTACATATGTTTCGCTGCTCGAGGGCCTAGCAACATTTGGGCAGCAACGACTATTAAAACCGCAAATTGCCGTAACTTCGCTCAGATATTTCCGCTTCCGTTTGTCTCTTTTGATGTGTGTGTGTGTGTGTGTGTTGCTGTCATTTGCACTGCGGATAATTTATCTTGCTAGCTTTCCTCTATAGTTCTGCTGCCATACTTGGCTTGGCTGTGTCGTTGGCTTCTGCTGTAGATTAACGTAAGGTTTTGTGGTTTTATTTGCATTTAATACATGATTGCCTGCGGGGCAATGCGAAGCCATTGCCAAGCAATTGCCAAAAGAGTGCATTGTTCTTCGCACTCGCTCTAAGTGGAGTCTGTCATTAAAAAGTATTTAAACTTGTTTAAATTTGACTGCTTCTCATTTACCTCATATCAAACAATTCTATCAGCCACACTTGACAGCTTATTGCCATTTAACCAATAAAAATTCATGTAATTATTTCCATATCCAGTTTAGTTTGCGGGTTTCGCTGAAAGGTTATTAGTTTTTCAAAATATTAATTTAAGGAAAATTAAAAAAATCTTTAAAAATTGTTTACCTGCTTGACAAATGAATTGTTTTATTGTAGTTGGTTAAAACTAAATAAATTTACAAGAAAATACATAAATACTCACATATACATATATGTATGTACATACATAATCTGTAAAATCTCATTTACACATTGGCTGAGCCAAAACAGATTTTTATTGCAGACAATTATTATTTTGAAAGTGGATTGGGTTTCGCTCATAAACAGAGTTATTTACCATCTCGTTTCAGTGCCAAAGCATTCATGTATGTGCGAATGGCCATAAATAAGCGATACGCGAATTATAAATTTTATTGTGAATTATTCACGAATTTTTGACAGCTTCGGAATAGTAAATTATTATAAAACCTCATTTGCATAGGAATGCTTAAAAATGAATAGTGATAGCTAAAACATAAATTAAGGCAAGTTAATAATTAGTAATTCTTATTACGTATCTCCCGCCAAGCTATGATGAATGCATTTCCTTCCTGAAGATATTATAGACCGTTTGTCAGCCCAAAGCAACTTGGCTATATAATCAGATGGGAATAGGCACAGCTAGTTGTAAGACCTGAACAACAAAAATCTGTTTTGCTTGTTGTTTTTACTGTTGTTGTTGTTGCTGTTATACTTCAAACAGAAAGAGCAACAGCCTTAAAATGTGCTGACGTCGCCTTCGGGCAGATTGGGTGGCAAGAACATGCAAAGTTTTCGTTACATATTCCACACCATCGCGACCATCTCAGGTCTAGGTAATCCAACCTGGTAAGCACTTAACTATGCAGTGCCGCCGCAATGTGCAGTGTGTAATTTAAGCATGTTATATACCTTTGTATGTTGTTATGTTTAAACATAGCACGGTACAAGTTCAAAATCAGCATGCTTACTACTGACAACTGCCCTGCCCTCGCCCTCTGTCTTTGCCTTTCGACAACTGCTGCAGTTGGCTGGCGGCGCATAAATTTGCTTGCATGTTACAGACGACAAGAACGCGGCCATAGTTGGGTGGATACTCCAGCTAGTGGGCCCCCACGCCGCTTCTGGTTGCCCCGTTGGTTGGCAAACCGTGTGTATCCGTGAGAAATTCTATGGTGATATTCTCACGCATGTCTCTAGGATATGCACGAGTGAGTTTCAGAGGCAGAGACCACTCGGTGAGTCGCTTCCAATAATTGGTGCACTATTTTCCATGAGTTTATTTTAGTTAGTGATTTTTGCGCTACACTTCAGACTCAATTAGCATGCAACATGGGAACAGCTCGAGCGACTTGTCCCTCCCGTCTGTGGAGTGGCGAGCGTGGAGCACTCTGTGGTGCTCGTGCCCGTTGCGGCTACCACATCAGGGAGGGTGCCGTTAACACTGGCAGCTCATAGAACAACAAATTGCAACAGGTTCAAAAACTAATTTGCATGCATGAAATCGCTAAGTGAGCCGAGACACGACCGAGACACATCGAGGCCCCTGACAGTCACTTTCCAGTCATATGCTACGAAAACCCGTCCAAAACTAAACCAACTACCAACAGCTGGGCCCAGCCCCAACCTCAGCCCCGTCGTCAGACATCACTCTCAGACCTCCACACACAGCCATTGTCTGTCTGGCCGTGCGGTTGGTCTACTCCACTCATTGCTCATTTGATCTTTGGCCAGACAGCCGCTTTTCAATTGAACTTCAAGTGCTGCACCAGCACATGAGTCGAAACAAACGTTATTTATCTACTCACATCTATACAAAATTCATGTTCTTGTACCACTTTGTTACCAGCTTAGGTGCCTGTGTGTGTGTGTGTCTGTGAATGTGTGTGTGTGTGGCAAGTTCTTGAGTCTGCCTTTGATATCATTTATTGATTTTACTTTGATCCACACGTCTGTTGATTAATGCTCTACTTTGGCACTTACCTAGTCATCTATGCAAGCTATGTTACCTAACTGGCTGGGTGTTTGAATTCAAGTGTCACTACATATAATTGTAGAACAGCTAAAATTAATTTATTAAAAAATTATAATTAAAAAATTAATAATTAAAAAATTAATAATTAAAAAATTAATAATTAAAAAATAATTAATTAAAAAAATAAATAACTAAAAAATAAATAATTAAAAAATATATAATTAAAATATCAATAATTAAAAAATGTATACTAAAATTTAAATTTAATTAAATTTATATTTACATTTATACATATTAAAAGTATGAAAAAAATATGTGTTTTAAATATTTAATTCATTTTTTTTATATTAAATATAAAAATAAAAAAAAAAATATAAATAAATAAAATAATTTAATTAACAAATAAATAAATTTAATTAAAAAAAAACTATTTTATACATATAAATATATATATTAAAAAAAAAGTTTTTTGAGATTTGACTAAAATAATGTAGGTATGCATATAAATATAAATAAATAATATAAATACAAAATAAACTTAATCCTTAATAGTTTTTAGTTTTCCATACTTCTTTTCTTACAATTTAGAATGGGAATATTAAAAAATTTGGTATTAAAACTTGACTCTAGAGACAAAAAGAGCTCAAGTCTGTAGCTATAATTCAACAATTTATATACAATCCTAAAAAGTCTCGCAAGTCTTTGTCTATTTTATGGTTTTCTATTAAATGATCTCAAACACACATTGATCAGCTCATGGAGTGTCTCGCATGGCCCTTGTACGTACATGTGTGCACTGTGATTGACATTTGTCGGCAGAAACGAGTAGAGTGCTCCATTTCAATGTGTTTTTAAGAGTAGATACGATTGCGTTGGCTGGTTGGCTCGAGCGAATGTCGTGTCATAAATCAAGTTATATGCAACAGCTTATATAGCCGATCGTAAGGTTAAATATTATTATTGTGGCCGGCTGCTCAGAATTTTGTTATTGTCGTCAATGGGTGCGTAATTTCATGATGTTTATACATTTCTAGCTGATTTGCAATTCCAATTAATGTATGTCCAACTGTATGTGTCTATGTCTGCACTACTAATTATGATTTATATGCAACAATCTGACTAATTTATGTGAGCCTCGGCCAAGTGCCAAGTGTGTTTACCACTTTGAAAAGGCATTCGTGTAACTATTACACTTTTATCATGTTGCTTTATTTTTTTTTTTTGGTTAACAAGAAGCAGAGATAAATAATTAGCTATAATTTGTAATATGCTAATGCCCATATGCAACGCCCCATTCACTTTACTCACACTTTGTGATTTGTTTTGATTCATGGAATTACTCATAGCTATATATATTATCTCTACGTGTCTTACAGATGCTGCCAATATTGAGAACAGCCCGGGCGAGGAAAAAATCCAAAAGGAAATCGAAACGATCGACTACATAGACAAGTGAGTAAATGCAAAAAGAAATAACATGCACAAATAGAACCAGTAATTAGCGAGCCGAATACGGAACCCAAATAGGTGTCAATACAATTTAATTTCGATTCAAAACCAAATCGATTCAATTGCAACTTTGACAGCCAATTCAAGCTTACGAATGACCAAAGCGAGTGCTTGAATTTTCGATTGCACTTTATGTATTCGGTTTTTCTAGTCGTGGTAAACGCCCTTAAAAAAAAATACAAAACCGTACGAATTAAATTAGACAGTCACCAGAGTTGCCAGCAATTACGTGTGGAATTAACTTGTAGCAATTTCCAAACCATAATTGTTTACTAATCTTGGCGTTGCTGCAGTCGCAGTTGCTGCAGTTGACTCTTTGGCCATTGCCGGAACGTTGTGCAAATTGTGTATACGCCGCGTTTGACCAATCCTCAATTTGACAATGCTGCAGCGTTGAGTGCTGGGTGTTGCTGCTGTGATTACTCGGATTGTTGTTGTTGTTGTTGTTGTTGTTGCAGTTGCTGTTGCTGACTTGTTGGTACATGAACTACAATTACAATTAGTTAGCTGTTCGAATGTGTTGCTTTTATCTCTTGGGTGGGTGATTACAATTTTTCCTAGGATACGGCTAATGGAAGCTGTAAGTTATGGTATTTCTTGAATATCTATTACTAAGCAGCAAAATATTTTTATATTGCGCTTAAAAGTTGATTGTAGCTTAGACTTTTTTCTCTAAAAAAATGCCTAATAATAGTTAAATTCATAGAATTTTATTGGGCTACAAAATGGCAGCATTAAATAAGTTTGTTTATTTTATATTCATTTTTAACATCCCCAAGATCACGTTTAATCAAGATATAAAAGCAAATTTTCATTCATAAAATATTTATCTTAAGCTCTAACTCTTTGCAATGCTCCTGTCAATTAGAGATCAGGTTAGACTCGTATTCAGCTTGTACTTTAGATTTTATCAGCTCACAGTCTATATTGGTATGTAAACTTCTTGATAATCATAGTTCGCATAGAAAGTTGCGCCTGCTCTCATTTCTCTACTACCGCGCCAGACAAAGTGTATTAGCCTGATTACACAGTCAGTGTGAGCCAAGTTAATCTTTTTGTGCTCGTCATGGAAACCTGCTCGGATGTAAGTGTGAATTATGCAGCATGTTTTTGTTTTTTAATTATTTTATTACTTGCGGTCATGAGCACATTTAAGCCATTTGTGGACGCCAATTGGACAACAACAAGCATCTCAATGATCGCCTCAGTTGTTACCATTTATATGGCCAATGAACACGAGCGAGTTTTAGCTCTCTCACACACATACACATGCAGCAACAGATTGCGCAATATTTAATTCAGTTAAACAGCCGCCAAAATCGGCTGGTGTGGCAGATTTTGCAGTTTTTGCTGACACCGGCAACTTGTTAACTTTTTTCCAACATTAAATGGTAATTTTTTTCCGTCGTTCGTTCGTTCGTTCGACTTTTTTTTTGTGGATCATGTAGCCCGTCGAATCTTTGATGTGTTTAATACATAATTTCCTTATCGCTGCGGTCATATTTTTTTTGATATTTCGATAAAATATATAAATATATATTTTTTTTTTGCAGCCAAGCAAGCTGTCCAGCCTCATGATTTGTGGTCGAGATTTTGCTTCTTAAAGTTTAATGACTCTAAATAATTATGACATTCAAGTTGCAGTTGTAGCTGTAGTTGCATTTGTTGCATGTGTGTGTGTGTGTGTGTGTGTGTGTGTGTGTGTGTGTGTGTGGACAACACTTTTTTGGTTTCTTGCCCACACTTGTTGTTGTGCTGGAAACTTGTTTGCTCGCAGCAGAGTTCGCTTCTTGCATAAAAAATATTGCAATCCAATAGCCAGGCAACGACATTTAATTAACTTCCCATAAGATATTAATTACCCATGGGATAGCAAAGAAAACGTATATGGGGCTACAACCGCATAATTTCTTTGCGCAGAACAAAAGACTTAGGCAACGAACTTGGGAAGTATCATCATGTCATAGTAAATATCAAATATGGCTTGGTTAACTTTCTAATGAAAGCTGCCTTAAATGGTTTCGTTTATGAATTGACGTTAATATTGACGTTAATATAATATATGACTCACTTTTATATTTGAAATGAAATGAATATACGTCTCGCTAATGAAATATCAAACATTTATAATGGGCTAAATGAAATTAATTAATATTGCACCCACTATTTTGGATTGTTAATTAACAGTTATACGTTAACCAAACGCCTGGAGCCAACTAAATTTCTCTGATGAATTGGTGTTGTTTCATTAAAACTGTTAAATCCTGGCTTACATGTAAAGCCTTTTATTAGTCTATCTTCAATACATATATAAAACTGACTCAACGACTTTATTTAGTATTATCTCATTAACTATGATGACAGCGCATCGCCCACACGTCTCGTCCGTATGCTAAACCGACTGCTTAGCTGCTAATGCAAACGACTTGGCCGTAAATAAAAACATCATCGTCATCATTATCAAATGCATGCGCATAATTAGAATGTTATCGCCGGACTTATCGAATCGGAACCAAACAAATTGAACAAACTGAGCTGAACTCCTACAACTTAATGAAGCAAATGAAACGCTTTCTTTTTGATTTCACTTTCATGGGCGCCATATCACAATCGGAGCTGGTTTCTGTGCGTGTTTACTACTCTTTTTTTTTTTACTCAAGCGTCATCTTCGCTTTGGGGCTAATCGGTAAAAAGAGAAAAAAAGTGGCTCAGGCTGAAGTGGCTCAGGTATGCAAATGAAGACGAAGAGTCAACAAACGCACGAATGGATGGCAATTTGTCGCGTGGTTGTGTTGTTCGTCTTCTTTTAGCCAGACTGTAACGCATTTATATTTGCATAAACGCACACACACACTCACACTCATATAAATCGTGTGAATATTGAACACTTTTTTTTTGGTGCTGTGCAATTTATTACGAAATTTCCTACGCAAAATCCATGTGCGAAAAGACTTTCACTGAAGTGAGTTTTTAATTGCTGATATTTAAAAGATTTCGTTGCACGGTCAGGATTTGAGTAGTAGTTGTTGTTGTTGTTGTTGTTGCCAGGGGTTTTCACTTTGAGGCGTAAAAGCCAAACAAATCAATTGTTATTAGTTTTTTGGCCTGGCCCGTTGCGACTCCATTGGCACTTATCAGTCGGCCAAGCAAACATCGAAAAGCTTTGCAAATAATAAGTAGTTGGACACCCGTCGAAGTTGCAGTTGCAGTTGCAGTTGCATGCCTTAGCGTTTGATGAACTTTTGGCAAGAGGAAACATCTAGCTATACGGGTGTTGCATGCGCTGGTGGCATATTATTACACGATGTAACAGTGTTTAGCGCGATGAAACAGGTGTAACCAGTGACGGCTATTACGTGATGTTCGACCTGCCAGCCGATTAAAATAACAATAAAAAAGACAAGCATTTAAATATAAAGAGGAGCCTTTATTTGAGCTTGAGATTCGTTTGGTTTCCATTTTTTTTTTCTTTTCTGAGTTTTTGTTATTGTTCGCTTTTGGCAACTTCATTTGGTAACTGGCTAAGCTGCTCGCTCGGTGTTAACTGAAAATATCAAACGGTCGTCTGCTTATGGATTTAACATAACAACAAAAATATAAAAAAAAAAAACAACTATTAAATGACGAACCAATAAATACAGTTTATAAATAGCTTAAGGCTAAGCGACTAAAGAGCAACGACGCGACGTTGCGCTTTGTCAAGCTTGATGAAAAAATATCTCAGCAACTGCTAAAAAGTCAAAAATATGCTGTACTAAATGTGATGGGAAAAGACACAAAGAAAATGATTGACTAACTCGAATGAAATTTTGTAATATTCATCTTGAATATGTTATATGATATTATAAGAAAGTTAGATGATAACATGTGAACTTCAAATTTTATTTGGAGATCAATATTGCTTGGGTATAGAAAATATATCATAATATATAGCTAATTTTAGATCCCTTAGCTAACCTCGCCATTCACTCAAAGCTTAAATTGGAATGCTTAGATCCCTGACAGAGTCGTTTTTGTATAGAATATTAATTTGTTCAAAAAAGATGTATCCGGTTTTTAATTGAATCTCAGCTAGCGGAACTCTTAAATAAATGCTTGCTAAACTGAATTTAATTATGAAATTTCTTAAAGAAATAAATGAAGCGATCATTAATCACAGCGCAGCCAGCCAGATGCGAACTGAATCGCTTTCAATGCAATCAAGTCAAACAAAAGCTTTTCTTTTATGAAAATTCATAGAGTAGCCAGCAGTCAATAAAAAACAACAACAACAACAAATATAACAAAAGTAATCTAAACTGAACAAAGAAACAAGTTTGTCACCTAAGTCTTTTGTCTTTTTTTTTTTTTTTTTGTTTTGTCAGCCGCGCGCGTTGACAAACTAAACGCAATATTCGAATAATAAATACTGCACAAAGATAAATTAATATGTGAAAAAGGCTATAAAAGTGTTTTTTCCCCTCGTTTTATGACTATTAAAAAATGCATTTAGCGCTCTAATTAAACGTTTATGTTTATCAGATTGCAGTTGCAACAGCAAAACGCCCCGAAAAAAAAAAGATAATACGGAATTGGGGAATAAAAACTAAGCTGAAGCTGAAGAAAACGCAAATATTTCAGCGCGCTTTTAGTGGGATCGAGCGACTTGCTCAATTTGTGGGCGTAACGGCACTGCCTACTTTTATGTATTTTTTGAAATTTGTATTTAAATACCCTTGACTAGGATAGCTTGGCTATGTTGTGGGATATGTTGTGTAGTAGAGATGATGCGAGCTGAAATTCCTTTTAAATGTTTTTCGCCTTTGTATATGGAATTGTTTTATTCTGATCTTTGAGTCTCTGATTCCTATATCATTAAACGCTTGAAGAATGAATGAATATGTCAAAAATACACTTGATAATTTCCTATGATGAGGACAGCATCAATATTGGTGGAAGATTTA